TTCCCTACATAGAATAAACTAAACATAATTTCTGTAATTAATCTGTGGCCTTGTTCAACCAGCATTTCTCTTTCTAACTATCTCTTTTCTGCTGTTGTCAGTCATGCAATATGTGTAACAGTCTTGCACTGGATCCTTAATAATGTCAGACTTTTAATAGTGGTAAGAAATTGACTGAATTTTACTACTGTGTACAAGTATGTTCAGATTTTTGTTGTAAAAATTTGTATAATCATTACTTTTCCTATTAAGTATTTATTTTCTACTATTGCTTTATACCAAATTTGCAGAATATATATATTTGTATAATATATATATTTCTAGAAATACTTGGATTTGCCAGGAGTAATATGAATTTGTGTGACATATTTCCTAAAGAAAATAGTAATACTGGCTTTACTTATGTGTATGTAGATTTTGACTGTTTTTACAATTCATCGTAAAAGATATTATCAACCTTTCTGCAATTTAACAAAAATAATATGTAGGAAATATACTACAGAATTATATCATCAGCTTACAAAATGTATGTCTAAATGAGTTTAAGCTCTTAGTAGTTCAGAAGAGGTGGGATTATTGTTGCATTAAAGTACCTGTCTTGTACGTAAGGCAGAGCTCTTTGTACTTCTTAGCACTTAGCCCCTTGCATAAGCTGAAGTGATCCCTCCAAGGTATTTATTATGTATTTTACAAACATGACATTCTTGTAAACCAAGTGAAAGCTCTAAATCAAGTAACCACTTGCTAGAATGTGTTCCCTTCCTCAGAAAGACAAAAAAAAAAAAGGTCCAATTTTTTAAGACAGTCAGGTTTTTAATAAGAATTTGCTGGTGAATATGTTACATGCAGACCAATAGTTTTGTGCTGGCACAACTCCTGTAGAAGGACAGTGACAATGAAATTCAAACCACATCTTTTCATGGCTTGGATTGTAGTTTTTCTCTGTCTAACTAAATAGAACAAATGAAGGCACTTTTTTTTTTTTTTAAATTGAGTTGCTTTACTTTGGAGTGTTAAAATGAAGGATAATCTTCTTGCACAGGATCGAGGAGATGAATTCACTTACACTGGGAGTGGAGGTAGAGATCTTTCTGGCAACAAAAGGATTGGAGAACATTCATTTGATCAGACATTGACACACATGAATAGGTAAGTTTTGAAGATAAAGTTAAAAAGTATTCCAAAACAAAGACATGGGTTGTAGTGCTTTGAAATTTAAAACTAGCATTCATTCACTCCTGTACATGCTGCTTTTGTAAACAGTGGTGCCTCTTGCTGCTAAGAGGCATTTTATCAAACATTATGTTTTGTTGATTTAAAGAAACACAAATGAATTTAAAGAAACAGAAATGAAATACATTGCTGTATCACTGGTGCAACTAGTAGTCATGTCTCTGGTTGAAATTGTCCTACAATTTCCGTCAGAGGACTCTGTTTTAATTTAACGAGAAGTTTGTCAAAACTCTTAAGTGGATGTTTTCTCTATGTTTTCCGGGTGTGTATTTTTAAGTTTCTTCTTCAGTGGTTAAATCAATTATGAAATTTAAGTAGGAAGACAGTACGTTCATTTTCCCATGTTAAAAGATATCTTTCCTATTTTGCTAGCCCTTTCTTCCGTCATAGTTTTCTAAGAAAAGCAAGGTATTAGGATGTTGCTTTATCAAAACCAAGAAAATCTGTCCAAAAGATGAATTGGACATCTGCTTAAAGTATTTTTATGTCCTCTAAAAGCCTGCTTGAACAAAGAGTTTTCCTTTTCTATTTCTAAGAGCATAATCTCTGTTATGCTACTGACCACTTAACACCTGTGGGGTGCTGAGATTGACTGAGACCTTTTCTTTGCCAGGTCTGCTTTTAGATATCAGCTGCTGCTGTCAAGCAGCATGGAGAGGGATTCTTTCAAGCTTTTTGGTGGTACTTAGAGGAGAGTGAGAAGAAAAGCCTGACTTGGCGGCTGAGAAGGGGAGGGAGGGAGAGAGAGAGGGAACATGATGTGAACAAGAACAAGGAGGGAAGGAAGATGGAAGGAGGTAGGCTTAAGCAATAGGTTTACAAGCATATCTAGTGAATAGAACAAACTTGCTTTGGGAAACAGAATTAAAAGCTGGACTCCTTAGTCTCAGCATTGCTCTGCTCTTAGCAAATGAGAAATCCACTGGCAAAGCTTGACTTGCAGCTTTGCAGGGGCTAGTGCACATGGAGTATAACAAGGTGCTGCTGTCTGTTACCGATTTTGATCCAAGGTTTCAAGCACTTTGATACTGAAGGTAATGATGATTCCATGTAGTTGAATCAGTATTGATTTTACTTGTCAGATACCTTTGTTTATATATAAGAAACATTTTAAAGTCGGCATTGCATGCCTGTCTCTTACTGTTCTGTACAATGCGGGTTTTATACTCCTACCGTGTTTGTTTATAAACCATATTGTTTCTTCTGTTCTAACATTCATGGTTTGGTTTGAGTCTGATTCTGAACGGTTTTCAGTCCCTGGTCAAATCAATCTGTACTTTTTTTCTATAGTGTTTTTCATCATATTTGTTACTTTTGTGTAGACACTTAAAAAGCCTTAAAATCTGCAGTTAATGGAGCATAGCAATAGGGAAAGTTTGCCTTTTGTTATAATTTTCTTTTAATTCCCTTAATGCTATTTAGGAAGATATTATTTTTAAAAATTAAGAATATTAAATCTTAGATGACTGATTTGTTTTATTTAGCAATATCAGCTGAATTTTCATCTGTAACCTTCTCAACAAAATATTTTGTGTTCCCTTTTTTTTTTCGTACCATATATGGTAGCATGATCTCATTGCTTCCATCAGTTCTGCAGTTGTTAAAGAATATACTGAAAAGTTCTATGCTGCTTGATAAAGCTTAATTATATAAGGGAAATAGATATGACTTAATTACATTAAATCCTAAAAATCTGTTGTGCAAAGCAATCTAGTTTATGAAGATTTTAAATCTCTTTCTAGGGCGTTGGCCCTTAACTGTGATGCCCCACTGGATGACAAAAACGGAGCGGAGTCTAAGAATTGGAGAGCTGGTAAGCCAGTCAGAGTTGTGCGCAGTTCAAAAGGACGGCGAATCAGCAAATATGCCCCGGAGGAAGGCAACAGATATGATGGCATTTACAAGGTATTCTGATTTCTACTGAGTGCAACATAACATTTTTCTTCAGCTGTTTTTATAAAGTCTCGTGTTACATTGCAAATTGTTCATTATTACTTAAAAGCAATAATTCTTTTTTTCTCCATGATAGCTTTTTAGCCTTAGCTTATTCTGCAGAGAACTGAACTGAAATTATTCAGAGCAGTGATAATAGAACATAGTCCGTAATAGTATATATAAAGTTGAATATGTAAACGAATTTATATGTACTTACTAAATCATATTCATCTGTGGAAATCAAATTATTTCTTCACTCCTTCCAACTATATCCTAGCTTTTTGTGCATTTAGTGACTTCTCAGCATGTAATATAAAAGTGTGTGCCTTTTAAGAGCACTGTATTTATAAAAAATGGAAAAATATCACACCTGAGGGAAGAGCTGCTGTATAATAGTAATGTATGACTTAGTCTTCTCATTTCTTCTTGAGCCATTAAAGTATGACTATGTGCTTGTGTTTGGCTTGTGATAAAATAATGGGAGTAATTTTATATTGTTCTTCAGGTCGTGAAATATTGGCCAGAAATTGGAAAATGTGGATTTTTAGTTTGGCGCTATCTTCTGAGGAGAGATGACGTTGAGCCTGCACCTTGGACTTCAGAAGGAATGGAGCGGTCAAAGAAACTGGGTCTAAGCGTACAGGTTCGAATCAGGACTCGCAGAGTCAGATTATGCTCAGTTCCAGTAAACAAATTCCAGAAATAGAAATCAGTTAAATTAAAGTCCCTTTTTTTTTTTTCCTGTACTTCACTGTGGTAGAATTTAATGCCAAAAACCACCACAGATTATCTGAAGACTGAAAGAATCCTTCAATAGTGACACAGCAGAAGGAACGGTGGATGAAGCTTTCTGACTTAGTAAATTGCTTTGCATATATGGATTGGAAATTTAAGAGTTTGAATGTAGTTTTGTGATCGTTAGGCTGGAAAGAATTTTTACAAACAACTGTTGTTGTAGCTGAGTCTGTCTGAGAAACTGAAAAATCTGTTTGTTTTTATGTATTCTTCTCTCCATGTTACTGAGGAATTTGTATGGATAGTGTATTTCAGGCACAGAAATAAACTGACCGATGAGGACTTGGGCAATGCAGAATCCATGAAAGATGGAAAGAATTAACATACTGTTTCTTTTCTCAGCAAGGCAATGGTCTATCTTACAGCATACCCTCATCTTCAACTTTGCCTAATTGATTTGTATAGTTGTAAGGGCGTAGGTATGAATATTGGGTTCCTTTTAATACAATTAACTCTGGATTAGATTCTTTGCCTTGACTACACTTCCTTAATAATAGATACTAATTTAAATGTTTTCTCCATTGTGTGCGGTTTAAAAAATTATTTTGTAGTTATTTCAATATGTAGTCACAGGGTTTTAAAGCGTTTTAGAAATTAGTCTTGTTAGTGTTTAGGAATTCCTGTGTGACAGTGGGTTTTGATTTAAATCTCTGCTTTTTATTTTAGTATCCAGAAGGTTATTTGGAAGCCATGGCTAGTAAGGAGAAGAAAGATAAGGTTAAAAGGCAAACTGTGAAACAGGAGCCAACCAGCCAGAGTAACGGAAACCAGAAAAGGACAATTGATGATGGTATTTCTTTTTTACATTTTTAGCATCCATCAGCAAAGTCTGTCATGTTATGTTTATTGAGCCAGTAGCATGAAAACTTTGCAGAAGTGTGAAGTTATTTGGAATACTAATGTAAACTGATAAGCACATGGTCTGTAATTAAGTAGTAGTGTAGGGATCTTACTCTTTTACTACTATTACAGGGTTTTTTTTCTCTTAAGCTGTGTAGAAAAATGAACTGTCTTTTGTGTAACTGTGTGCTGCAGACCAAAACAATGCTGAAGAGTATGAGTTGGAGTAGGGATTTGATTGCTGCATTTCATGAGTGTAATCCATGTTTTAGCTTTCTATAAACAGTTTTGTTTTCCCATTTTATTAGTTCAGACTAATACTCTGTTGTTACTGTGTCTGATGGCCATAATCTTAAGCAGGTATAGAGGAACCTACAAATACATCCAAAGCCATGAGGATGGGAGATGGAGGGAAAGGAGAGGCTTTCCAGCTGACCCAAGAGCAGCAATGGCTGATTAGAGAAGACTGTATGAACCAGAAACTGTGGGATGAAGTACTTGCTTCTCTTAAGGAAGGACCAGTATGTTTGCTGCATGCATATTTTTAATGTTTATCTTTTCTTTAGACTGTTAGGAGAAATCTTGAGGCTGTCTTCAAACTTAATTTGCTTGTTGAACTTTTGCTGAATACAGACTGTGTCTAGTGTTATTTTTATTTCTAAGACTTTGATTTCAATTTGTCGTAGTTTTACCCCAGCTGGCAGCTGAGCACCACGCAGCTGCTCACTCACTCACCCCCATGGTGGGATGGAGGAGAAAATCAGAAGAGTACAAGTGAGAAAACTCGTGGGTTGAGATAAAGACAGGTTAATAGGACAAAAACCAACAAACCAGACAAAAAACAACAACAAAAAGCACCCCCTAAACCCCAAGTGATGAACAGCACAATTTCACACCAACCAAAAGTCGATGCTGCACAAAACCCCCGTCTGCCCAGCCTCTCAGCCCATCCCCCAGTTTTAAACAGAACATGACATCATATGGTATGGAATATCCCTTTGGTCAGGTTGGGTCAGCTACCCTGGCTGTGCCCCCTCCCAGCTTCTTGGGTGCCCGCCACCTTCTCCTTAGCAGGGCAGTATGAGAAGCCAAGAAGTCCTTGACTACTTGGCAACAACTAAAACCATCAGTGTGTTACCAACATTATTCTCATCCTAAATCCAAACCACAGCACTACACCAGCTGTCAGAAAGAAAATTAACTTAATCCCTGCCAAAACTAAGAGACAGTTGTACAATTTGCTATTGATGGCTTCGTTTACACCTGCGTAATAGAGATCTTTTCTTGCTCAAAAAACATTTTGAAGTTAGAGGTGGCTTTTTTGTCCTTTTCATTTTTGAAGGGAATGTGTCTTCTCGGAAATTATAAATGTATTTTTGTGCTGTGCTGATGTAAGGAATCAGACATGGTTATAGTCACTACTTTTTCTTTAGACAGAAAATAATTTTATGACAGAAAATACAGCTCGTTTGCTTTGTTTAAGAAGATAGAAGTACTGTCATCTTCAAATTTTAATATGAAATGAAAATATTTTCATCCAAATCTAGATTATCCCACTTGGTAGAGAGGGAATGTTAAGTAAGATAGAAAATACTTTCCTCCCCCTAAATGTCAAGAAAATAGCAAGAATAGCTGAAGATACAAGAGACAATAGTAAAAAAAGTCCACAAAAGGAGTATCTTCTGAAATATTATGTCTTTCAGTGATAATTAGTCTTATCAATGTCAATTTCATAGTTATTTTAGCTGTTTTCCAGAAGAAATCAAGGCATTAAGAAGTTGAAATAACTGGCTAAAACTGAACTCGGTGAAAAACAAACCATTGGTTGGAAAACAGATATCTAAAAATTGACATACATAATTAATTTATTTGAGAATTACCAGTGGCTGTTTATGGTGCTTCTGTAACAGAAAATCATCCATAACTCCCTGTTTTTCCACTTACAGTACTAGTTTTTGCTATAATGCTGCTGCAGTTGTCTTTGTGTAGAAACTACACAAAGTAAAGTTACTCCCTATTACCTGTCTTCTATCCGGTGTCTGCAATGACTAGAAGGAATTTGAGCTCTTAAAATTGTGCATGATGACGGGCAATAGAGATTTGTGTTTGTAAAAAGGAGAAAACAGTAATTTAAAAGTGGTTGAGTTATTGATAAGTCATTTTCCTACAGATTCCTATCCATAATTTTGGTAAAATTTCCCTTTGGTTGCCACTAAAGGCAATGAGAGTCACTGGTAGCTTTGGGTTGCTACCGTGAAAATGTAAATCTTTCTGCTTGAAACAACCACCTTCCCTTTTAAATAAATAAAAAGTGTTTTAAGGTAAATCTGGTATTTTAAAAATTGTTACAAAGAACCATATTTTGATTACCTGTAGATCTTATTTTTCTATATCCAAGCTTGTATTCTTGAGATATTTTGAGATGACTGACATGCCAGAGATAAGCATGCTTGTGTATGTAAAACGTCTGGTACAAATGTATCTTGAGATTCCTCAGAGATGCCCTGAGAAGATTTAAAAATCAGAGAGGTTGATTTACACGCTGCGGAGAATTTGACCTGAAGAGAGAAGAAGCAATTAAGCTAGCCACAATCCATAAGCCTAGGAGGAGGTGCAGGAGTGGCTTTCTTAGCAGCAGTTGTTCCTGTGGCAGAGAAGCAGGGATCTTTCAGGGACATGCACATTTCCAGCAGCAGTTACTAAACACAATTACTTACTTTTCTGACCTATGCTAAGAATCAGGCATGAGTGGCCCTCTGGTCTGTTTCATTTTGTTTCTAACAATACAAACAAGTAAATAATCTGTAAAACAATAGTTGTCCGATTTGTGGAAGAGCAGGGAAATTAAGCAGTTACAGACCTGCTTCCTGATTACTTTTAGAAAGCTGCACTCATGGATATGGAGGACTTAAGAACTTCTGGAAGTTCATCGTCTTTATGTAGTACGTGGCATTTATGAGAACTGTAATAGAGTTTGTCTTTTTTATTCCTTTGCCATCACTAGAGTTTTCTGAAGAAACTGGAACAATCCTTTATGTGTGTCTGCTGCCAGGAGCTGGTTTACCAGCCAGTGACAACAGAGTGCCTCCACAACGTCTGTAAAGTAAGAATAAACTTGGTCTTGCTCTGGGCTGTTTTCTTGGCTCTGAGCCACCAGCCACCAAAGTCATATGTATTTTAGAAAGACAATATTTATTGCCTAACATTCTGAGCAAAAACAGGCAACAAGTTTGCATTCAGTGATTGCTGTGTAACCTTAATTTTATGTAATAGAGTGGAAGTACGTTTAGTATAGTTCCTGATGGACATAATAAGTGAAGTTTACCATTGCTGTCATTCCTTTGTGATCAGTGGAATTACACTACGAATTGGTGTGGTCCAGGAGCTAGATGTTGGCATGGTAACAATTTAATTTTATATAGTTAAGGAATAAAACCAGATTTTATAATTGTGTAACACTCTTACTAAGAGTTGTTGAAAGGGTGCAGGGCAAATAGAAGAAAATTGTTTGGGCTTATTCAGAGAAAGTTACGTTACCTTGTTATTCTTGCCATTGTTTATGTTTGGTAGGAGGGTCACAGAAGTCAATTTATAACTCATGTATCTTAAAATCTTGATCAGTTGGATATAATGTAAGGAGTTTGGAATCCAGTTTGTACTAATTTTTGTAGCACTGAATTGTGTGCTCAATTGTGCATATTTGAACTGTGGCCGCCATACCTATTATTTCTGCCTAAAAGCCTAAAAGGACTCAGACTATTATCATCCTAGTACAATATCTGATAATGCAAGTTTGCTGTTCAAGAAGGTATGCATCACTCCAGTAAAAATCACTGTGTTGTTATGGATGGCCTGCACACATGGAATGATTATGGCTCCTTAAAAAACGTAAAAAGTATTATGAAGGGCTTAGTATTTAGAATTATGGAAATTGGAAAACCATGGAGAAGAGAGAGCTGAATGGCAACAAAGTCAGAAAGCACGGAGCGGAGTTTGAAGATATCAGTGAATATCTGTGAATACAAAATACATGCAGTTCAAGTTGTAAGGAATAGTTTGATAGTAAGCTGCTATTGCTGTTTGAGCACAAACCTGCCCGGATAAATTTCTGATATTCAAGCTCACATGCTTGGGCTATCTGCAGCCTGTGGTAACATGGTAAGAAGGGCAGCGCTGATGCTCATGTGTTAGAGATTGTATTATTCTACATATGTCTTTAAGGCTTAACTGAATCTCATCCAATGAGGTAGATGGAGATTGTTACATAAACAATATATCTGGTATATTCACCTTCCTCTTGAAGGGCTGGAAAACTGTAGCAGTCTGTGAAGCTAGAAGAAAGCTGCAGGCATGGCTGTGATTGACAGGAAGGCACTAGTGGAAATGAAGGGAAAATCTCAGTGGTGATTTTTTTTTTTTTTTTTTTTTTTTATTCCTCCCAAGCTCAATGTTTCACATCCCAGCCCAGAGCAGAGTTCCTTGGTTAGGACATTTTAGCTATAGAGGCAGAAGTAGTGATTCCCGTTTTTCTGGTAGTACAGCAGGTTGCATCTTTGGTTTATAGTGATTCCTTTTGTTTGGTTTATAGTGATTTGCTGTTAGAGCTGTCAGTCTAAAACAAAGTTCTCACAATTTACTTCTCTGTCTCTGTATGTCCCAGAGTTGTTTACAGCGCTCCTTCAGAGCTGAAGTCTTCACCTGCCCTGCCTGCCGCTATGACTTGGGAAAGGGCTACACCATGGTTCCCAACAAGATCCTGCAGACACTACTGGACCAGTTCTTCCCTGGTTACAGTAAAGGACGATGATGTGCTGCGATTCTTCCGTACTTCTCCCAGTGACTTTATAGACAGTAAAGGAGAATAAACATGAGAAATTCAACAGTGGACCAGCCAGCTTGATGGGACTCAATATATTGTCACATTTTGAAGTTTTCCCTCATAGCCATCTTTCTGGTGTAGTGAGAACTCTAATTCACAGCTGTCTTTTAACATCAAGGGTAGTTTTGGCCAGTTAACAAATAGTTTTTAAAGAAAAAGAAAAGCCTCAGCTCTTACTGGCCTAGCTGATGCTGAATTTATGATTTGTTTTTTTTGTAACTACCTCAGGACAGAGGAAAATAAATTGTGGGGATAACAAATAGTTAGTGAAGTTTTAGCTACACACTGCCTCCTGAATATTAGTTGTGCCTGGTCCATGTGGTTTGATTTACAAGAAAAAACCCCAAACCAAAACAAAAACCCACAAAAAACAGCAAAAAACCAGAAACAGCACTTAAGCCAGCTGGATTAAAGAACAGCAAATTCTGTGGTGTGCATAATCCTTTTTTGTCTTTTTCTTTCATTATGCTGTATTTTTTTGCAAGAACAAGCTGATTTTTAGTCTATTTTTGTGAGCTTCATTGTGCTTTTCTTGTATCTTATGCAAGTTGACTACTAATGACTAATGAGAACAATAAGAATGCATTGTTGCTGCATTAGTGTAAAGTGATCTGTGTTTTTTGCACTTAAAAGAGCGTATTCAAGACACTCTAGTTGTGTAAAAAATATTTCATATAAAAAGCCACTTCTGTATTAGTTAAACTGTATGCTTTTAGTAGGTCTTGTATCAGTGGCAATACATCTACATGGCATTGAAGGCAGTGCTAGCTTGGAGAGGGTTCAAATCGCTTCATATTGTGATCTGAAATTTTATATACAATATATCCTCCCTAAAAATATACCTTATTAAATATTTTATGATTCAGAAAAGTTGCTAATTTTGTTTTTACTGTTATCCAGTTATTTAAATCATAACATTTTAATAGATTACTAAATGCTTGCTTTAGGTGGGCTTCTTGTTTTTCAGACATGAGGTTTTATAGTCCTTAACTCATTCCTCAATGAAAAAAACATTGTTAATTAAGACCAAAAAACCCACCATGGCATCAATATCCATGGGCTCACACATATTCTACAGCAACGGCTGTCACGTAGCTGCTCTGGTCTGCACTGAGCATTTGAAGGAAGATTGTTGGTGCTCAGCCACGTACCGAGGTTGGAGGGAGCCGTTCCTACCCCCTTGGCTTTGGCAGTGCTTGCTGCCAGAGCCCACTAGGTGCCACTGGGAGCTGCGGGTGCCCCGCACAGCAGTCAGTCAGAGGTTCCCACCATAGGCACCGGGCTGCCCTGACAGCCTGTAGCCTGCAAAGGAGGCATATATGGAAGTATATACGTCACTCTCAGTAACTGAAGATCTTGCCCTTACCCTGGTGTGGTTATGAGATGCACATGGTAGTGCTCTTTTTGGTGGCTGAAACTTAGCTTAATGGGTTATTCACTTCATCCAAAATAAGCAAGTCCTCTCTCTCCCCACTCTCACTCCCATTTCTACTTTGGATTTCAGTTGCATCCAAAACACATAACGCTGGTACTATGTAGTCGTGAATCAAAAAAAACAGGTGTTGCTGAACAGTTTTGAAAGATTTAACTCCTCAGCTTTTTCTGTGCTTACTAGAATGAGGGTTCAGCCTTTGTTCAGTAGGTGAATTGGTATTAGTGTTGAGCATACAGATTATAAAAGCTGTAGACAGATTCTTATATCCTGCTGA